TCTCTATTTGCAACGCGGCTGAACAAGGAGAGGAAATAAGATTTAAAAGGTCACGTGAGCATTATATATGGGTTGCTATAATATACATGCGAACTACACACCAAGTAAATTTAAAATTACTTATGCCACCAAATTCTGTACACCATGTACAGGATGATTCACCGACCATATTATTATGACCGACTCCTTTTTCATAATATATTATGATAATTGATGCACTTGTTCAAATAAATTCGTATTCCTTGGAATTTACAACAATATCATAAAGACTTGCATGATATCTTCATTTACTTAGATCCGTGACGTTATATGATATTATATACCTACTTTAAATATCATCCTACGAATTTTTTTTTTTAATTTTCAAACAAGAACCGCCATTTTTTTTTTAAATTTCTATACTTGAATAAAAATCGAAATTCAAATGAGCAGTTTATATGGATTGGTATTGTTATCATAAGCTATATGTACTAAAGAGTATTTCCTGTTTAGGTTTTATATCGAATATAAAATAGACATATTAATATGTAGCAAAGTATTGCTATCATACACTCGGTGACAATTTTTATATTAAAATTTGGACGAAGTTATCGAAAAATAACGAATATAGTTAGTTTGTTGCACTTTAACAATATTATTCGTGGGTACTTGAAACATTTAAAGCGTATAATTCAATTTTAAACATTTTCAAATGCAATGCTTTCGATAAAAATTAATTAATTATTTTAATAATAAAATAAAATGCTCTTGTCGCAATAGGTAAGACCATAAAATATACTTAGTAAATAGGCTGATTGATCGCCTTCGCTCAGAAACGTTTTTCGTGTACAATGATAAAATATCCATTACAGTGACCCACACGACACCTAATCTTTAGCATATCTATACTCTACCTACAATATGTGCACCTTTTAGATTCTGAGTGGAACGATGAATTTATTGATTTGACAATGATGTGTGTATTTTTTTTTTTGTGTCTGTGTACACGATAAGTAGTCGAAATTAATACTTCGATGTCAACTTCATTACCTATATTGTTCGAGTGGAAAGTGAATATTGTTGGTGCATTGGGGAGGTCAACATTTAAAATTCCCAGTAATTTTCAAAAGAAAAATTAAGGAAAAACGAGAATTTTTACGCAAAATTGATTTTTCACAAAATTGAATTTGGTTTTTGATGTAACTTTGAAACAAATGACCGTAGATATATGAAATTTTCACTGGTTGTTTATATTTACATATTCTATACACTATAACATTTTCAAAATAATTTGATTTATTTTGAACTGTTTAGGGACATTTTAATTTTCCATTTTTTTTAGTTTTTTTTTCTAAAAATATCAATTAAATTTTATTTGTTGATTAAAAAAGCTTGAAAATTGAATATCAGGCTCCTAGTATATTGTTTCAGAGGTGGATGAAAAATATTAAAAATCCTTAGTCACAATTTTTTTTATAAGCATTTAAAGTTCAAAAATTCACAAAATATGGGAAAATCACGAAAATTAAAAAATTATTTTGAGTTAAGAAATCGTAAAATTTTTTCTTTTTAAATCTAAGATTTTAAAATATTATACAAGATTCCTTATGAGATTATCTACCTTTATCAAAAAAAATGTCTATAAGAAAGTCAAATTAAATTTTTATGAGTGTTTGAAATTCAAATTTTTACAACATTGGATATTCACTCGATTTCTCATGTAGCGATTTCTTTATTTTGTTGTAATTCAAAAACAAATAACTGTAGATACATGAAAATTTCACTCAATATTTATATTAGCATTTCCTATCACCATTTTATAAATGTTTATATTAGCATTTTCTATACACGATAACATTTTCAAAATGTTTTGATTTATTTTGAACGTTTTAGACACATTTTCATTTTCCATTTTTTTTAAATTTTTTTTGTCTAAAAATATCAATAAATTTTTATTTGTTAGTTAAAAATGCTTGAAAATTTAATACAAGGCTGCTGATATATTGTAACAATAGCAATTGAATAATATTAAAAATACATATATATTACATATAATTTTTTTTATAAGCATTTAAAGATCGAAATTTGACAAAATTTATCAAATTTAAAATTGAATAATTATTTTGTAGTTAATAATTTATAAAATGTTCAACTTTTATAGCTAAGGAATGAAAATTTAAAAAAAGATTCCTCATAAATAGTTAATTCTGTTACCAAAATCTAAAAAATACATAAACACAGTTTATTTTTATAGTCATTTTAATTTCAAATTTCGACGAAATTACATATTAAAAACCTAGAATAACTATTTTAGTTATTTTGTTGTGATTGTATAATATTATTCGTGGGCACTTGAAACTTTTAAAGTGTACTATTATATATTTATGATAGTATCACTGATTGTTGTTAATGTATAACGCGTTATAAGTACCTAATGGATATTGTGATATTATTAATTTGAAATTTATTATAGGTCAATATTTTTTAAAATACCGTAGATATGTACTACCTATATAATATGTCTTAAACCTAGACTGACTATACCGTCTCCCCTCAGAATCGTTTTTCTTGTACAATGATATTATATCATTGAATTCAAATTTAATACCATCCATTATACAGTGACCCACTTGTAACCTACTGTACAGCAGAGCAAATTTTTGTATTAGTTTATACTAATATTATATAATATTTATATGATAATATAATAACGATAAGGCAAGGTAGATAATAAAATACAACTTATAAAAGTGATGTTACATTATGATGAAATTACATTAATTTTACTATTTTAGTTTGATCATCAATATGAATAATATTTTAATAATATGGTCCTATGGTTTACAGGTGGTCATTACTTTTAGTGGAAATAACGGGAAAGTTCTTAATAGTATACGGGCAGAACAGCTTATACTTTATACAAACAAACCTTGGAATCAATCAAAATCAAACGATGTTTCAACAATTAAATTCAATTATGTTAGTTTCGATTGTCTTGTTTTTTCTAAAATCAAAAATCGTTTTACCAACGCGGAAAACTACGTTTTTCGTACACAAATATTTACTGATTAGCCCAGTTGAATGATCTGGCTGATTTACAAGCGATTTATAGGTTATCTCAACGGAGATTAAAATTTGTTAATGACAATATGAGGTACCTATATAAAAACTATACAATATAAATTAACGGTAAGGTATTTAAATGTTCGATAAAACGTATTTTATTCGAATTTGGATGAACCTCAAACGCAATTTGGTTTCATACTCATTTCCAGAATCATAATTGACACCGTTTGTGAATAAATTGCAACTATAGATTATAGGAAGTGCCGAATAAAGTGCTAGTAAATGGTTAAGTTCATCGGATTTAACTTTACTCAATGACGTTTGCAAAAGAACATTGCAATGACGTAAAAATTCAACAGGTAGTTGTTAAATTTGTTATTGCTATTAATTATTGCACAAGTGTTGTAGCCTTGTAGGTACTGTTGTTTATGGAAAACTGATCATAGTGTATAATATTTTATTACAGTGAAAAGTCAATACCGCCCACTCGTATTCGTATACATGTCAACGTACAAATATTTCCTAACTATGGTAAAAATATTTTCAGGAAAATAATATAGTTGTCGAAACATTTCAAAAAAGTTGCGTAAATAATTAAGAAATATTTTAGTTATACTCTTTGGCCAAGAAGTTCATATTTTTGAAAATATTTTTAAAAAACATTTACAAAACGTTTTAATCATATATTTTCAAAAAAACATATTTATCGAAACTTTATAAAAATATTAAGTCGACATTTTTATTCAATCATATAGTACAATAATTTGTTATAATAAGAAGAAAATATTTATAAAATATTATTAGTCAAATATCCATTATTCAAGCACTTTAAATTAATATTCACAAAATAATATAATTTCCCAAATGCTGTGTGGGTGGTTTAATGGTAGATCATAGGTAGGTGTTTAAATATTATTAAGTAATATTAACAACAAACATCAAGACTAGTCCAAGATTCAAATAAATTTGCAAAACACTTAAATTTAAGTTTTAGTGTTTTTTTGCATGTTTTTGTTAAATTGATTAGGACAATAGGAACATACCTATTTAAAAAAAAAATTAAGAGCATATTTTTATGCATATTTCGTCAGTTAGTGCATATTTAATTGTTTTTTAGTGCATTAAATGCACAATAAGTGTATAGTAAGTTGTTATAAGGTTGTTTAGTAAACCACGATTAAGTGGTTAGGTACCAGCTAATAGGTTAGGTGCAATAAAACCACAGAACATAAAATATTTTTCATTGAATAATTATCGTGTTTACTATGTTGGTTGATGTCGGTTTTCTGCCAATTATACCCATCGGCTATTGATAAGGTGACCTACCGACCTGGTAACACATTGAAACGACTAGAAAAACACTAATCTGTAGCTCTCGAAATTCGAAACATTAGTGACTGCTAATTAGCAGTATAATGAACCGAATTTATACACTCATGGTAATACGGTTAGGGTTACACATATTCTGTGATATAGGTATAAAATAGTATGCAATTATTTATATAGAACCTAGCTACAGTATTATCGTAGTATTATTTCTTACAGCTGTTTTATGTAGTCGCTTCGTAGGTCGATTTGAAAGCGTTTTATCATAATGTGGGTAAATATCTAACCAGTATATATATCACTAGCTGTTGTATAACATTTTGTGTAATCTGTGAGTATAAATCGTGATAGCAATAGCCAGACTACTAGCTGTTAATAATAATAAATAATAATAACTACAATATACACATTATTATTAGTTTATCTTTATTGTTGTCGAGTTTAGGCGGCTCATTGACTCAACAGCCTCAGTGGCCAGTGGACGTTTATTATATTAACTTACCATATAAGTATTATGACCGTTATACTGTACCTAATACTCTAAAGAGTAAATCCTAATATTCAGTTCACTGCGAGCGTTGTCACATGACACACTTTTAACAGTACATTATGATTTTCAACCGAACAATATGCATAATATTAGTTTAATTACCAATGCGTTCGTTAATTGTTCTATTCTCCTATGTTCCGTACCACAATCGTACAGCCAAAATTTGGGACCAGCTGTAAAAATGACCAATGGACAAGTGTGGCCGAAACCTGTGCTGCAACACATCGACGATGAATACTTGAAATTTGAGCCACAAAATTTTCATTTCAATGTAAGGCACACAAATAACTAAGACATGTTTTTTAAATTTACTAAGCATTTTTTTTTTAATAAAAGTTATATTTTAAATAATGTTATGTATATTATCCTGCATGTAATAGTATTTTAATAATTATATAATTTTTATTAATTATATAATTATATAATTAATTATATAATTATATAATTAATTAATAGTATTCAATTTGACATCATCAGAGAGAACAATTATTTTTTTTTAGATTACGGGTTATAGTTGTGACGACCTTCAAGATACATTTAAACGGTATAATTCTATGCTGTTTTTAAAAGCTACGAAAACATTTCAACAAAACACTAGTCTATCTGCGGACTCAATCATTGGCAAGATGGAAGTGCTCAATGTGCAGTTGACAAATCCCTGTGAAAATTATCCTTCGTTAAATATGGAAGAAAAATGTAGAGTAATTTTTATATTTTCTTAATACCTCTCTTGTTATAATGAGAACGAAAATACAATTTTGAATTTTTTTTTTTTTTTTGTTTGTACAGACGAAATCAAAATAATCAATTCCAGTGGGCTTTTAGTTGCAACGTCTATTTGGGGTATTCTCCGAGGTCTAGAAACATTTTCTCAGTTGGTTTATTTGGAAACGGACGGTTCGACGGTAATATCTCAAACGTTTTTGACACTCACGCGAATTTATTATTTAAAATTTAATCATAATATTATATAATATCATACACAGTTCGTGATTCGGCGAACGACAATAGTGGACTATCCGAAATTCAGACATCGTGGATTCCTATTAGACACGTCCCGGCGTCCCGCCATTATTTCCCCATCGAATCGATCACGAAAACTCTAGACGCCATGTCGTATTCGAAAATGAACGTGTTTCACTGGCATGTCATGGTAGACGACCAGAGCTTTCCGTATCAGAGCAGCGCTTTTCCGAACCTCAGGTCCGACGTTTTAACTTGTCTAATCGATAACTTGTGCTGTACCTATATACACAGTATAATGTACCTATGATAAATTTTTTTTAATATCGACGACAGTCAGCGCTGTGCTTATTTGACATCGCTTTTATATACTTACATATTATTGTCGTGTATAGCGAAAGAGGAGCTTTCGGAAAATCGGCCATTTATTCGAGAGATGACGTCAGACGTGTGATGGAACACACAAAACGTCGAGGCATTCGTGTCATTCCAGAATTCGACACCCCAGGTAAGTGCGGACACCACAGAACAAGTAATAACAAGACGATCTGTAAGGCGTATTGTACACACATTTTATTATTTCAACGTTAGTACCTATCGGCTTTCAAGGCTTGCAATCAAGTTATAATATGATTATGAATTTATGATTATAAGGTTACATTTGATAAAAAAAAAAAATAATTGCAATTTGTAAACGAGCACAGCGATAATCAAAAATAATTAAACACCTCAAAACAAAACATAACGATTAACAAAATATATTATTTATCATCAAACAAAGTATAACGTAAAACGTAATTTTTATAGAGTATCATTAAACGAAAAATAACGCAAAACGAAATATTTTTAAATCTATTTATTCAAAAGGTCTATTGCTAGAAACATTTATTTCATGCGAACAATCTAAGAATTGATTATATTATATTCGGTATTCGGGCCATAACCTACCAGCATTAAGTTATTTTTAAATTTAATAGGCATTAACAGTATTTTGAAAAACTTGTGTAACGTTTTAATTGTAAATAACATAAAATGGAATTTTATTCAAATTCAAGCTTTGATACCTTATATATTATAAGAGCACCGAACAGACGTGTATAATAATAATAACAATAATAATTGATATATTAAGTATACCTATTGAATGGCAATTTGTTAAAAATGGCCCATGTACATTTTCAACTACTTTTCAGGAGAAACAAAAAACAGTTTTTCTTTATTTCTATTCGCGTAATAAGATTAATCATCACAATTTAGATTAAACTGCAGTATTGTATAAAAAATAAATAGCAAAAAAAAAATTATTTAAAAAAAATTTGTACTTTTATAAATAACGAATTTTTGTTATGTGACAGTGACATGTTAGGCACCTTTAAACCAATATTCTAATAATTTTATTAATTTAAGATAACATAATTTAATATAATAGTCACATTTTAAAATAATATAATACCTTCTTATATATTTTATCCTATTAAATAGATAACAGTGCAACTAAATAACAAACTTTGAACATAAACAAATGAATAACAATCTTAAAAAAACAATATTTTTTAATTAAAATTAAAAAAAAAAAAAAGAAAAACTCGTGTACCTAAATTTTTGAATCAGTCTTTGATTTATATAAACGATGTGTTTACATAAGAGGATGAATAATATACAACAAAACTATTTTTTGTCAAAAATGTAACTTATGTCTCTCTTAACAAATTCCCATTCATATATAAATACTGATATATTACCTATATTTACAGTACGATCTCATTTATATTTCAGGACATACATTATCTTGGGGACTCGGTGGCATTCCGGGATTACTAACTGAGTGTTCGGATTCCGATACAAATCAATTTGGGCCTATCGACCCGACGGTTGAGAAAAACTACAATTTTATCAGGACGCTATTGTCTGAAGTCAGTGAATTATTCCACGACAATTATTTACACCTCGGTGGCGACGAAGTAGATAGTTCTTGTTGGTAATGACAATTTATGGTTTTTGTGTATTATTACGATTTACAATATAATATTTCAACGTATATATATATCTGGCTCTGGTTTAACGGAGTATGGGAGGGGGAATTCAAATTAATATGATGTGTTTATTCAATTACTTACGAATTTTTTGAATGTTTTAATCTAATAATTGTTGGAACAGGGAACATGGTTTGGCGTGTAATCAGTGTATGTACCTATACAACAGAGATCGCGCCCCATACAGCATATTTCATATTTTCTAACTATGGTAAAAATATTTTCAAGACAATAATATAGTCGTCAAAATATTAAAAAAAAGGTGCTTAAATAATTAGGAAATATTTTGGTTATATTCTTTGGCCAAGAAGTTCATATTTGGAAATCATCTAATAAAAAATTTTACAAAACATTCTAATCATATATTTTTATGAAAACTTTATAATAATATTTAGCCAACATTTTTATGTAATCGTATTGAACAATATCATGAGAAGAAAATATTTATACAATATTATTAGTTAAATATTATTTATTATTCAATCACTTCAAAATATTCACAAAATATTATTATTTCGAAAATGCTGTGTGGAACTGCACATCCTTCCGAGATTGAACAATTTACCCGTTGCTTCGATCGCTAGTGCCGCATTTAAAATTTGACAAATGAAATGTTATTATAATACCTATAGAATTAATAATATATTAGATATTTCCAAATTTATCGGATCAGTCGTACAAATAATATATTGTTTAAAATGTTTTAGTAATAGCCAATTGGTATAATGTATAGGTACAAATAAACACAAATACTATTATTTTATATTAAATTTAACATTGGTTTTATAATTTGGTTTTCGAACTTTCAAACGTAAATATCCAAAGAGTCCGACGAAAAACAAAACATCTTATTGTATTTTCCTCATATGGCTCATCGTAGTGCGACGGAACACACAATGTGATCAGAATATAAATCGTCCGACTCGCCGAATTTACGTAATGTGTTAATGCAAATATAAATTTCATGCCACGGTGTTAACCTATCGTAATACCTGGTTGGTTGTACACACGTTTATATTTTAAACCATTATTGTATGTCTATATAGGCATATAGCCGCCATTGATGATACTATTTTCAATGTCCTTATTAATTACCAAAAATCAATCGCTATAATTAATCGTCGTATAGTAATCACGATTCTTAATATTTTGAAAAACAATGTTAAACCAAGTTTTTAAACATAACATAACATCCATTGAAATTCTTTATAACTCTTGGGTTCGGTTAGGGTTTTATCTAGTGCACATTTTTATTTAGAAATGATGCACATTAGCTCAAAACCCTGCAGGTATACAACAGGTGGACCTAAATCCAATCTATTTCAGCGATTTTCCCAAAAATTCTGCACCCAATAACTTATAATATGCGAGCATTAGGTTTATAATATATTAAATATAATAAATTGGTTTTCGTCGACTTTCGCAGGACCACGAACAAAAAGATACAGGACTTTATGCATCGCAATAACATGAAGAACGTCGTCGAATTAAAAGACTACTACTTCGCAAACGTCTTCAACATAACTCGAAGTTTGAAAACCGTGCCCATCGTGTGGGAAGAAATATTTGACGATAATATCCACCTTGGTCCATAAGCCTTGGTCCATGTGTGGAAGGACTCTTATGATTATTCGATCTTGTCGAGGGCAAGTATTTATATATAATATATTATAATATATTATAGTATACACCGTGTGGTTCATTTAACGTAGGACACTCTTTATTCAAAAAATATTCATTTTTTTGAAAGTATATTTTTCACATGGTATCAAGACGTTACAAAATAACGTGTTTATTAAAAAAATTATATTTTCAAATATTCTTATCCTCATAATTTTTTTTTACTTTTTTGAACCACAGCACACAGTTTTGATCTTCGAAAGCAGAATATTTTTCTGAGTATTTTGATGCACATAACAATTGAATTTAAGATCAGAAGCTTATGAGTTATGACTATATAGTCTATAAGTATTTAAAGTTTAGTGGAGCGGAGTAGTGGACCAACACTTTGAGGGGTCCCCGGCGTACCACTCCATTCTACTCATCAACATTTTAAATACTTATAACTCATAAACTTCTCGGCCTAAATTTGATGTATCGAAATACTTACAAAATATTCTACTTTCAAATATGAAATTATAACGATATGTTGTCATTCAAAAAAGTGAAAAACTTCATACATGTTGTTTTTAAAGACTATAAATGAAGTAAACTTTTTTTTATACTTTTTTAAATAATGAGTTTTTAATGATAAAATAATCACCCTATATATGTATTATATACAAACACAAATAAGTTAGTTTATTATATCTATAATGTTTCATTATAAATCAGCAGACGGGCCACACGCACACAACGTCGATAAATCATTATGGCTGTGACTATTGATGAACTTGAAATTGTTAAGAGATTAGTCTAATATTTCACCCAACTTTCAGCACCAAAAAGGCATTCACCGTAATATTTGAAACTATCTGCCACGTAGTTACTACTAAAATATTTATAGGTACTAAATATAGTTAATACGGTTCCACGTAATTTGGTCCGGTAAATTATATCCGGCGACCATTGATCCACGACATTTGATCCGGTTCAAAAAGAACTTGTACCAAAAATATCCTGCTAAAAAATGTCCGGTAACAAAAAAATATAAAATATAAATGAAATATATATATATATATATCATAATAAAAGTGATAATATGGAATACAAATGTTTATAAATTAAAATTATTAGCGATACCCTTCAAATACGTAATGATATTTGAAGTTTCATAGTTTTCTACTGTATTTTTAAGACGTTGGTTTATGTTTTTATATTTTTTTTTTTTTTGTAGGGTTATTTTCCCCCAGATTAATTTTTTCTAGTTTTGCTTCTTGGAGCCCCTGTTCCTGCTTCAAAAAAGATATAAATTTCCAAATAGTCGTATGATGACATCCCAATGATGCATTGAAAGCATGGTGATAACCTTCAACAGCATTGTTTGTTCGAGGTTGGTCATTAATTACCAACCAACCATTTATATATTTCAGGAATAATTAAGTCTTTGGTATTACTTGGATTAACTGGAGCATTTTCATTTATTACTCGAGTCCGTTGAATAGTCCTTGACAATGATTTTATAATAGGTAATTGTCCAATTACCGGAACAGAAGTTTGACCCAACACATTTGAAATTATATTTCTTGTAGAAGTTATTTCTGTTATAGCAGTATCCTTTATAGTATTCACCAGTTCTTTGGCCTCAATTTTGGCTAAGTTTGGAGCATGCGAATGATCAGTTTCTTTTAAAATCGATCCTACGAAAAAAAAAAACAAAACATTGTATGAAATGTGGAATGTACAATTTGAAATAAAGTCTACATCAAAATAATTAATTAATGTTTTATTTTATAAATAAATATAATTAATTAAATTCTATTAATTTAGTATACAAATTTAAGTACATACCCGTTTCGTCTTTCGTTGTTGTGTGACATAGGCTTTTACATGACAACTTTTTATACTCGGTACAACGACTTACTCCATACTACTTTTGTTTCATACACATCATGAATACTAAATAAAAAACCTTTATTTATAAGCATATTTTTGCCTTTTTGGCTTTTTATAAATGTAAGTGGCATTATTTAAAGTTAACGTTATTCATACACGTTTGCAAACGGCTAGGTGTTGACATGTACTAAAATCGAAAAAAACGGATGTATCGCTATCTCCAACATAATAATAATTTATATCTGAAAAATCGTTGAGAACTGATTAGATTCGTTAATTTGTGGTTTTTCTGACCGTTTTCTGTATATAAGGTAGATTATATATAAATATATATATATATATATATATATATATATATATATATATATATATATATATATAGGGACTATTATTGATTATTTTTCTAAAATACTATACGTACTATACTATACTATACATTTTTAACTAACTAACTAATTTCTATATATTTATTTCATATTTATTTTCATAACTAATTTTTATATATTTATATTCTATATTTTTTTTATAATGACGTTTTTAAAAATTATGAAAATAAAATAACAACTAATTAAAAAAAAACTATATATTTATATTTTATATTTTTTTGTTACCGGACATTTTTTAGCAGGATATTTTTGGTACAAGTTCTTTTTGAACCGGATCAAATGTCGTAGATCAATTGTCGCCGGATATAATTTACAGGACCAAATGACGGGTCACCAGTTAATACAAATCATCACCCACTGGCGATTGGCCGTTACCCACCCACAACCACCTTGAAAAACTCAGAGCCAAGCATCGTATTAATATCATCAATGTACGAATAATTAAAATACGATATATAGGTGGTATTCAGAACAGATAACGAGATATGATCGATCGTGATGATATTATTATTTTATATTTATTTTGTTTTCACGCGTATATGAAAACCCATACGACTTTCCTAAAAAGCATTTCCGGATTTGCCATTGCAGGTGATGAAGAGCGGACATCCGGTGCTGTTTTCCAGTTGCTGGTACGTGAACTACATCAAGTACTGAACGGACTGGCCGAGGTCGGCGATAACAGTTTGTTCTTGGGAGGCGAGGCCTGCATGTGGGGCGAGTTCGCGGACGAAACGAACTTATTGCCACTCACGTGGCCCAGGACCAGCGCAGTGGCCGAAGTGCTCTGGTCACACACTCTAAACGAGACTGAAGCCAAGTACAGGATCGAGGAACACGTTTGCAGGATGAGGCGTATAGAGGAATACCAGCTGAGCCTGCCAACGGACCTAGCTATTGTCATTACTAGAACCATTATTATATAGGACAGTATATTACTGTCGTATCTCATTGGATATAAATACCATAACAATATATTGTAGAGATGAATAAATTGGAAATACCTTTAGAAAACATGTATTAGACAAAATAATAATATAATATCACCATTTTAAAAGGTTTTTTTAATTTTTCATTCCATTCGGATTGGTGAAAATAAGAGTTAAAGAGTTCTAATTGGTGAAAACATTTTGTATTAGACTGTAGTTGAATAAAAATATCATAAATAATTATTAATCATAAAGGGGAATTCATTTTTACCCATTTTTATAAATTATACACTAGTATACTTACATTGAAATAAATAATTGAGAATCTTGACAATTATTATCGACCCTATGTATACACACACACTTTTATTGCTTGATTTGTGATTAAAATTTAAACATTGGAAAATTTGGTAACGACTCCGATGTACAGTTGTGATGGGTGTCGCGTGCACCTTCTGAGCCAAGACCGTCTATCAGACTTAGAAAAAGACTTAGACTTTAAAATGTCTATACATAGTTCAAATAGAATCAAAATGTTTAAAAAAAATATACAATGTATAGAAATAGTTAATATAAATAGGAAGGTATTTGGTAAAAATGTCATTTTGAGTTATTAAATCAAAAAACTATTGTGAATTTAGGTTCAATTTTATTTTATTATACTATAGACAGTTACATTATATGAGAAGCCATGTATTAAATGATCAAGTTCTTTATAAAGCGAAACATTTTTTTCTCAACAAGAATTTAAATAAAAAGCGAATAAAAAGAATTTTATAGTGAATAGATTATCGTAATTACTGATATAAACATTCGATGAATAAATCACATATCTGCAGCTATACTTTTTTGAGTTACTTACACAAAAAAACAAAATGGTTTTTTTCAAAAACAGGAGTAGCCTAAAAATTCCCGTTTCTTCTTAATTTTTGATTCTTAGCTGATAATTGAATGCATTGTTTTTACACTGAAGTATTTATTTATTTATTTTTTTTTTTTTTTTGGGGGGGGGGGGGGGTTATATACCCTATAAGTAGTCGAAAAAATGCTTTGATTTTCAACTTCAAGATCTTTTCTAGTGGAAAAGTAAATCTATATAGTTAGTACTTTAAAGAAGTGAAAATGAAATAATGATCCCAGTAATTTTCAAAAGCTTCGGTAAAAAAAATTATTTACTGGTTATTTATATTACCGTTTTCTAATGACCATTCAATTTTCAAAAAACTCAACTCGTTTTGAGCTATTAATAGTCATAAAAAAATGTTGATTTTTATTGATTTTTTTTAACTAATGTCGATAAAAAATTTTCTTTTTGTCAAAATATTTAAAAATGTTAATACAAGGTTACTCATACGTTTTTGTTAGTGGAAACAAAAAAAAAAGTTGAGTGTTAATCCACAATATTTTTTTTTGAGCATCTTAATTAAGAACTTTGACAAAATTTGTCAAAATAACGAAAACTTGCAAATTATTTTAAGTTAGAAATTCATAAAAATGTATCTGTTTATACCCAAGAATTTAAAAATTGAGTATAATATTCTTCATTATACCTTTAACAAAAAATAAAGTTTTGTTTAGTGCTATTTTAAGTGTAAATTTGGACGAAATTAGATATTCGGCCTATGTGCGCCTGATGGAATTAAAATTTTACACCTTCCATTAGAGTGACCAACCATTTTTCCCCTTTCGCATTTTAAGACTATCGGGAATTTTAAATGTTAACCTCTCGAATGCACACCAACTATAGCATCACTTTCCCACTACTAAATGGTATTATAATATTTAATAACTTCTAAATTATTTTCTATACATTTATTTGCATTGGTAGTTATTAAATCTAAAACCAATTCAAATTTATCGTGAAACAGTTAATCTGCTCTCCAAGCAGGCTGTTGACATTAAAACTAGACCGATGACAGCTGACGGGCATTAATAATATTATAATTTATCAGTTTAGAGTATAGACATGACATCAATAATAACTATAATGCACATTGCAATCGGTAAATTGCTTAAAGCATTTAATTTTAACACTATTGTATACAACTATGAATCAATATTAGGTCTTGACCCTTGGGCCACGAGTACGATTGAGAACGTTTGATTTTTTTGATGACACGATTGCGGCAGATCAAAGAAACAATATTTTGTACCTTATAATCAAACGGTTGAGAACGATTTTTAGAGCGACATTGCAGTTCAGTGCCAATAAAACTACGTACATATT